TACTCAAGGTGATTCTTATCAAGCTGAAAGGATATGGTCAAGCTGGGTTCCTCCACATCAAGAAGCAGCACCATTTCGAAAGACTTATGAGAGGAGGAACAAGAGGAGAGCTAGCAAGTCTCCACAGACATCTAGATCCTCCCACCACTCCTCCCACCAAAGTTAAAAGGTACCACATCCTACTCATTGTTTATACCACTGCATTTTTTTTAAGTTTTGCATTATATTTTATTGCTTCTCTCTCTCTCATTACTTTCATTACACAAGGGACTGTGTAATTTAAGTGTGGGGGGAGAGATTTGGGGTTTGACTTTGTGTTCTGTTTTCTTAGTTTTTCATTTTTTTCATCTTGAGTCTCATGCATATCATGCATTCATCTAAGGCATAGAAAAACACAAAAAAACGAAAAATTTGAAAAACAATTTGCTTATTTTTGCAAACCAAAAAGAAAGCATGTAGTTGCATTTCATTCTCTTAAGATTGAGTCTAGTGTTTGCATATAGATCGCATTGCATTTGCATAGGGCATAATGATGAATCTTCCTTGTAAAGTGCTAAGAGTTTAGAGATGATTTCAGTTTTTAAGTGATTAGTTGTTTGATGCAACATAAGAAAGATAGAAGTTAAGACTGAACCATGTTTGGATTGCTAATTTTGATCATCTCATCTCATACTGAAAGCATTTGTTCTCTGAAAATCAACTCTATCAGCTTGAAATTTAATTTGGACTTTTAATTATCATTTCGGTGAAGATCCATATTCTTGTAGTACTTTTTTCATCATCTTGATCAATGTTGTGACTACTATCACTAAACCCAATAATCTTCTTTGATCCTTCACGTCTAAACTTCAAGCCAAATGCAACCGTTCCCTTTAGGTACCGTAGTATATGCTTCATTATGTCAACATGTGACTTTTGAGGACTTTGCATATATCTGCTAGCAAATCCAACCGAAAATGCCAAGTATGGACATGTGTGTAGTAGATACCGCAAGCACCCTATGTTCCTTTTCTAGCTTGTAAGATCTATCTCCTCTTCTTCTTGTGTTTTAGAAACTTTCAGTCTAAACTCTATTTTTACTTGAGTTGGATTGCAAGTGTCTAAGCCAACTTCTTTCAATATCCTTCGTGCATATCCTTCTTGCTTAATTTTGATTCCATCTTCACCTTGATGTAGTTCAATGCCGAGATAATAGGTGAGCTTTTCGAGATCAGACATTTCAAACTTTGTTGACATTCCAATCTTGAACTCGCTTATGACTTTGAGAGTGTTTCCTATCACAAACAAGTCATCAATGTAGATAGCTACAATGAAAAGAGTACACTTCTCTTCTTTGCGATATACTGAAGTCTCTTTTGAGCACTTTTTAAATCTCATCCCCTTTAAGATTTGATCTATCTTTGTGTTCCAAGCTCGAGGAGTTTGTCTCGAGCCGTACAATGCTTTTAAAAGTTTGTACACCTTGTGTTCTTCTCCTTTTAGTTCAAAGCCTTCAGGTTGAGTGACATAGACATCTTTTTTTAGCTCTCCATGAAAGAAAGCTGTTTTTGCATCTAAGTGATGGATTTCCCATCCATTCGATGCTGCCAATCCAATCAACAATCGTATAGTTTCAATATGAGCAACCGGTGCAAACACTTCATCAAAGTTTATGCTAGATTCTTGTACATATCCCTTAGCCACAAGCCACACCTTGTATTTGTTGATAGTACCATCTTCATTCTTCTTAATTTTGAAAATCCACTTGAGACCAATGACCTTTGTCGTACTCGGTCTATCAGTTAGAAACCATGTCTTGTTCTTGTTTATCGAATCAATCTCTTCTCCGCATGCTAGTATCCATTTTTCTGATCCAGATGTTTTTTGTAAGAACTTGGCTCATCATTCATCGCAAGAAGTATTCTTCCACATTTTACACACACTTGAAGGACATAGTCATCAAGATAGCTAGGCAGACTCGTTTAACAAGTTGATTTTCTTATTGATGATGTGCATCTCCTTCTTCATTCGTGTTGTCATCTTCTTCATGATCACTCATCCCTTGGTTTTTGGTTTCGTAATGATCTTGGTGTTGATCATTGTCGATTACTGCAGGTCCTGCTCATGCATCTTCAAATTCTCTCCATTTCATCTCAAACATTCATGGATCCCTACTTCGTACTTCGCTTCTTTCATTCCGACTCCAGCTTGACTTCTCATCAAATACCACATCACGACTCACAACGATTCTCTGTGTCGTGGGTTATAGAGTCTATAGGCCTTAATTCCTGGCTCAATCCTAAGATTCATTAGTGGTTTTGATATGTCGTCTAGTTTCTTTAGGTTAATGGCTTCTACTTTCGTGTAAGCTAAGCAACTGAAAACCCTTAAATGTTCAAGGTTCGGTTTCTTCTCTCGCAAGCATCCGTAAGGAGTCATGTTTTCGAGAGCTCTTGTTAGTACTCTATTGATTACATAAGTCGCATGTCGCACTGCTTCATCTCACAAGTAGTTTGGTACCTTCATAGCCTTGAGAGTACTCCATATCGTCTTTATTAAGGTTTTATTCCTTCTCTCTACTACACCGTTTTGTTGCGGCGTGTAAGGTGTCGTGAGATGTCTGTTGATCCTGTGTGTATCACAGTGTTCATGGAACTCCCTTGATGTAAACTCTCCTCCTATGTACTTCCTTGGAGTCGTGATTGTTTTCCCACGGTCCTTCTCTACTAATATCTTAAACACCTTGAATCTAATCAATGCTTCGCTCTTCTCCTTCAACAAGATCGACCACATGTATCTTGAGAAGTCATCTATAATAACAAATATGTATTTGTTATGAGCAATAGTTGGTGGTGATATTAGACCACGCAAGTCAGAGTGTAGTAGTTCTAGGGGTTTAGATGCTCGATACATAGCTTTCTTTGGAAACGATTCTCGAGTCTATTTTCCGACTAGACATGACTCACACAATCTGTTTTCTTCTTTGATTTCCGGCAAGCCATGAACCATCTCTTGTTTATATATATATATATATATATATATATATATATATATATATATCTTTGATTGTTTTAAACTTATATGTCATAACCTTGCGTGCCACATCCAACAGTCATCTTTTATACTTGTATGTAGGCAAATCGGCTTTCCTATCTTTAGACTAATCTTGTATAGTTTATTAGATGAGTGTGTACGTGACCTTTACAAGAAGTCTTCCACTTGGATTATGGACCGTCAAGTAGTCTTTTTCATCCTGACATCACACCCGGCCTCTGTAGCTTGTCCTAAACTTAGGATATTGCTCTTAAGTTCAGGAATATAATAGATTTCAGTGACTAGTTTGTTTCTGCTCCTCTGTCTTGCTTTGAAATAAGATTAAGCATTTCATTTCTATTTCAATACAAGATCCATCTCCGAACTTCACCTTGCCTCTTATGTTCTCGTTGAGCTCCAAAAATAATTCTCTATTGCCAGTCATGTGGTTGCTAGCCCCATTATCAAGGTATCAAAGTCATCCTTCCCCATCGTTGGATTTGTAGTTCTTTGGTATGATATTTTCTTCATTCAAGAACACTACTTCATGCTTATATAGAGCTGGATTTACTTCTTCCGTCTCTACATTATTTTCTTCTTGTAGCTTTTGTGTTCTTTTGGGGCAGGTAGAAGCAAAGTGTCCTGGTTTTTCACAGCGGTAACAAATCACCTTTGATATATCCTTCTTTTCTCTTGATTTGCTTTGATCAGTTTGATTTGTTGACCGGTCTTCTGAGTTGTTTCATCCTCTGCCGCGTCCTCTTCCACGTCCTCTCCCTCGTGATTCTGAAGAGCCTCGTTCGTCTGAGTTGGCATATAACAGCTTGTCTTGTGTGTCACCGTGAGTCTCCTCATTGAGGATCCGTTCTTTGTATGCTTTAAGTCTGCCATCAAAATCCTCAAAACCAGTTGCATTCAGATCTAAAACTTGCTCGAGAGAGGCTATGATATGGATGTACTTGCTTCTTGGTAAACTATTGAGAAATCTCTTCATGAGTTTTGGTTCCTCAATCGTTTTTCCAAGAGAGGCAGACTTCGACGCAAGCTCTGATAACTTTCCCGCAAAGCTATCTATAGTATGTGTGTTCTTTATCTTGTTTCTTTCAAACTCTGGCATTAGGTTTTGAATTCTTGATTCTTTGACATGGACGACACCTGGATGTCGGGTTTTTATTGATTCCTATATCCCTTTAGGAGAGTCTTGTTCGCCTACTTGCAAGATAAGAGCTCTCAGGATGGATTGAAACAATAATCCTGTTGCGATATCATTCTTTTCGGGAACTAATGAACCCTGATCAATTGTTTTCCACACCTTATGAATTTGCAGCATGACTTTCATCCTCATGGTCCATATTGTATAGTTTGTTGTGTTTAGCATGGGGCATTGGATGGAAGAAAGAATGAGTTCCTTCGGGCGTGGAGGATTGACGACGTCTCCCATGGCTCGGTCGCGCCAACCTCCTTCTTCATCAAAGCTTCGCGATCAAGCCTATGTGTTTGATCGTTTAATCTAGACAATTTCATACCAAAATAAAGTGATTTATGTCAAAAACTCAGCTTTATAAAAATTAAATCTCTTATTTATGTTTAAAAATATAACTTAAAAATTAAAAACATAAACTCTCAATATGTTTATCTACAACTCGACAAATATATATAGTATTAGCACAAGCTTTGCTAAACCTAATTCTACTAGGCTTTAAGTCCATCTTATCCTAACCACCTTTGGTTTAGGTATCTTAGACTTCAAGCTATGATGAAACTTATCTAACACACTTCTTGTTCAAGCTCTGAATTCAATTATTCTCAAAATTTTCTATTATGGAAAAGATCCCCAATGAAGCTAGTTCATGCTCCAGTTTGGGTTCCCTTTCGCAAGATCCCTCCCAAACTCTGGTCTTTGGTAGGGTTTATCACAATAGCTTTAGGTGTGGGCTTCCCGGTTCACTCTAAATCTTCAGACTTGAAACCCTATTCGATCATATAGTATTATCAAATTAAAAGTTGTTGTCGAGTTGGCTAAGAAGAGACCAACTTCAGTTTGGGTAACAGATTAGTCAGGGAACTCCGTTTCTGTTTCAGTAGATTTCCCTTGCATGCCTCCTAAATGTGGTCGTTGTGAGGAATTTGGTCATCTGGAGCTTTCTTGTCCAACTTCAATTCCTCGACCGAATGGATTTCATAAGGTTGTTGCTAGGGAGAATCCTGATTTGAGCTTAGGTTCTAAGTATCCTGTTGTTTTAAGTTCTAATGGGGATGCTGTGTTTGTGTCTGCACCATCTCCCGCTGTTGATTCAGGTAGAGAAAGAGGTAGAGCTACTACTCATATGGGTGATGTCACCCCTGCTGCAGTTAGTGAATCAAAGAGTTTACCTTCTCCTCATTCTCATATTAGCCATTCTTCGAGTTCTGGAGGTTGGATTAAGGTGATTTATCGTTCTAAACCTGAGGTTCCTTCTGTAAGTTCATGTTCAATGGGTGGTACATTCAAGCTTCCTATCACAAATGCTCAATTTTCAGAAGAATTAGAACTAATAAATACTGCTCAATAGATCATCAGGAAGCGCATTTCTGCTCTATAGATGGCTTTTCCACTGTTTCTTTCTAGTGTGTTGCCGAAAAATGCCAGGTTGAAACAAAGGCAGAGACTTCTTTTACTTTCCTGTTCGGATTCTGAATGTAGAGATCTCTTGGCTGCTTCTCCCCATTCTTCAAGCTCAGTATTTAATTTTGATTGAGAGGGACAAGTGCTTGTGCACTCTGTCTGTTCTTTCAAAGCTTAGTGTTTTGTATTTCCCACTTTTTTTACCTTCGTTATAAATGTTTTTATTGGAATGTAAGGGGCCTCAACGGCGAATCTAAACAGCTTTCAGTTAAAAGGTTGATCAACACCAACCGTCCTTTGATATACCATCTTTTGGAAACACATGTGAAGCAACCAAATTTATCGAATGTTATGAGTAAGACCTTGACAATTTAGAATCTTGAAGCAAACTATTCAGATGATGCAGATAATGGTCGGATTCTAGTTGTATGGAATCTGATGCTTTCAGTGGTTATTTATGTAAATATTCTGTAACTCATGTTCTATGGAGTTTTCAATCATCAATCAAATCAGTCTTTCACTGTTGCCTTAATATATGCCAGAAAAAAAAGTGAAGAAAGAATTTTTTTGTGGAATCTAGTTAAGGATATGGCGTCTTCTTCTATAATTAGGAACTCTCTTTGTATTTTTATGGGAGATTTTAATCAAGTTGATCAACCTCAGAGGTGTTTTCCGTTTACCAGACTTTTTTCAACTTGCAAGGAATGGAAAAGTTTCTTGACTGTATCACCATAAGTGAAATATTCGATCTTGCCTTCAAGGGATGCCAGTTCACTTAGCCTAATAAGATTCCCTCCAATCCTAAGGCTAGGAAGTTCGATCGGGCCTTGGTTAATGATGTATAGATGGAAAAAAATCCCTGATTCAAATGCTCTTTTTGATGCATCAGGAACCTCTGATCACTCTCTGTATTTGATATCCTTCTCTAACAATTTAGTGAGAAGGAAATCCAGGTTCATTTTCTACACTATGTTCACTTCTCATCTAGAGTATACGTTGTTGTTGCGCGATTCCTGGCACTCCTCGATTATTTTGGCTGGTTCGATGTTTTCTTTATATCAGAGATTGCATCTTGCAAAGATCTATTGCAAAGACTAGAACCGTAGATGTTTCAGCAATATTCATTAATGTACAAGAGAAGCTTCGAGAAGTTTGAAAAGGTTCAAAAACAGGTTTTAACTACTCCTAGTCGAGAGTTATTTGAGGAGGAAGCTTTCTGGCAGCCGCAAAGGAATCTTTCTTTTTGTAGAAGTTAAGAATCAGGTGGTTAGGCGATGGAGATGCTAATACGAGTTTCTTCTTCAAATTAGTCAAGACAAATCTTTCTTGAAATATTATTCATTTTCTTCTTAATGTTGCAAGTATCAAAATCTCAAATCTTCTTTTGCTAAAGGAGATGGAAATTAGTTATTGTTCAAATATGATAGGCACAGAAAAAATCAGTGGTAGACCTTACTAAGTAAAGACTATTCAGAGTATTTGTCTGTTTTGGTGCAGTGATATTATTGCGTCTTTGTTGTCGGTCATTGATATCTCTTATATTTGCATCATTTTCCTTATCTTCTCATGATAGTTAAGCTAGGGTTATTGCATTCAGGTCCCAGTTTATGCTTTGTTTCACTCATGTAGGTCTAGGATGCATTAGTTAGGATTTTTGCATTGGTCTTGCATGTTTGAAGCTCTCTTTCATGTACTTAAACTATCATGGAAGTCAGGCAAGGGAAACTAAGGCACTCGGAGACAAAGAATGACGACCAAATGGGAAGCAGACGATGTATGGCATCACATCGGGAGGCTACCGCGGGCAAAGGACGTGACAAGCAGCACGAGGTTTGCACAATGGCCAAGTACATCGGGATGAAGCCGATACACGAGCTGAAGGAGATGTTGTCTTGCATTACATCGGGAAAACGTCGTGGCAGTAGCCTGATACAGACAACACGATCCGTACCAAGATGTCAGCACACTAGCTTCCAAGCGAGATCCCATATCGGGCGAGTGGTCTCGCGCGTGCTAGGGCAACCTCTCCTCTCACTTTTCCTATAAATACTCCCAACCATTCATTTTGTCTCCCATCTGAGAACATTTTTAGTTATTAATTTTCATCTTGTCTTTTACCTACCTGATATATCATAGTTTTTATGGTTTTTAACCATGATATAAGTCCTTTTTATTGAGTCTTTTTGGTCTTTTTAGAGTCCTCGAAGAGTCTTTGCAGGTTATAGCATGTCTGGAGCATAATTGGAGATGGAGCCTTTTGGAGCATTTGGAGTTGAAGCCACGAAGTACCTAGACTGGAGCAGAAAGTATGCCATATGATGACGCTCGTCACCACACTGGTGACGCTCGTCACCCACCAGGGAAGGAGGTCGTGGCTGTTTATTAAAAGATGGAGCAATATTTGCAGAATTGGCCCAGAAGTTTTATTATTTACAAGAAAACCCCAGATAGTGTTTAGCCTCTATTTATTAGGTTTTTCAGCCATTGTTGGTCTTTATCTTAGTTTTTGAAAATTCAGAGAGCTTAGAGAGAGATTTATTCAGAGCTTTTTGGGGAGACAAATCATGTACTCTTTTGAGAAGATTTTGAACCCCCTTATTATTTTACTCTTTCTCTTAATGCAATATTATTCAGTTATGTTTTATGATTCTATAATCATGTCTGAGTAGTTTGTTATTTAAGTTAGGGCTTTTTCAAAGGTTGATGAAGATTTTGTAGAATTGCTACCTGTTAGGGATATCTTTTGGTTTTTCATCTCTGCTTGCTTTAAAATTGAATTTCTGAGACACATCATCTAGGAATCCGAAAATCATAGGTTGTTAAATATATGTGAGAGCATTATTGATAACATGAACTAGTATTTGATGAGCAAAACAACTTAGTGCAAAGACGTTTGGCTTAGGAGTTTTGTAAACAATTGAATCTGATCATTCCTGCATGCTTAGGTTGTTAGGGTTTGCAAAGAGATTTGAAACTATGTGATTTAGGCATAGATAACTTCTGCAATGAGAATTGATTAGTTATACATCAGTGATTCATGTTTAAAACGGTTCTTAATCATTCTTGATTTCATGCATTCTACATTCTTGGATTCAACCTGCGAACTGTCCTGACTTAGCGCTTTTAGTCTTCTGAAACTTAGATCATCTTACAAAATCGTTTGCTTACTTTTATTTAATCATTCGCATTACATACATTATATCTTTCTTAGCTTAATCCAAACCTACATTCGATAGTGTAGTCTGCATTACTCTCTTGGGATTCGATACCCCTTGTACTACAACTGCTTTTGATGTGCACTTGCAGTAGTTTTATTTGGGTAAAACCTGAGCCCTATCAAGTTTTTGGCGCTGTTGTCGGGGAGTAATAGCTGCCTATCGATTTCTAGTATAGGATTTTGTCTAAGTTTTAATTTGTTTACTGACTTTCAGTTTGTTTTCTTTGTGCTGGTTTCAGGTGTATGCCTAATCGCAGTACCAGAAGCAACAAGGAGAAGGAGCTTGTGACTTTGAGCATCGACGAACTAGCTAGGTTAGAGAGAACTAACAGAAAAGCTAAGAAGCAATCTACAATGGTCACTCCACTTATCTTGGTTGAAGATGCAGAAGGTCACTTGGTTGATAGAGAAGGAAACAGGAGAACGAAGAGGGGCAGAGGATTAATCAAGAAGGGAATGTCATTGTTGAACAGCAGGTTCAACAAGTGGATGAGAATGTTGGAGTCCCTGTTGCTACAAACAACGCTGCTGGGCGTTTTGTACAGAGGACTCTAGGTGACTACAGCAGACCTGATCAGTTATATGCCAACAGAGCTGCAATCCGCCCTCCTGCCTTCCAGAGGAACGATTTTGAGGTTAAACCTGTCTACTATCAGCTGGTTGGCCAGCATCCATTCCATGGCTTATCTCATGAGCATCCTATGGATCACATTGAGAGGTTTGAGGATTTAGCTTCCAGTGTCAACGCTAATGGTGTTAGCAATGACTTTCTGTTCTGCAAGCTTTTCCCTTACTCTTTTGAAGGAGAAGCTGCATATTGGCTGAAGCAACTGGAACCTGCTTCATTGACCACTTGGAAAGACACTAAGAACGCCTTTCTGAATAACTTCTATGATGATGCAAGATCAGAGGACATGAGGACGAAAATTGCATCCTTTACACAAGGCCCTACTGAAGCTTTTAAGGCTTCTTGGATCAGGTTCAAGTCTTATAAAAGAGATTGTCCTCATCATGGCTTCAGTCAGGTGCAGTTACTTGGGATCTTCTTCAGAGGCATTGACTGGTAGTATCAGATGGTGTTGGATGCAGCAAGTGCAGGAAACTTCAACACCAATAGACCAGAGGAGGCGATCAGATTGATTGAGAATTTGGTCTGCAGCAACAGCACTAAAAATGCAGATTTTCAGAGGATGAAATAAGCTGGTGTGGCTGATGGAAATCAGATTGCTGAAGTTAAGGCTAAGCTGGATGATATGCACAACCTTTTGGTGGGAAAGAAGTCAGTTCACTTTGCTGCAGAAGTGGAAACTTTCGAAGTTCCAAAGGAGGTTGAACAAGAGGATGTAAATTTCATCAATTATGGTGGTTTTCAAGATCAAAGGTATGGGAATCAGCAGTGCAACAGAGGCTACAATAACAAAAACCAGAAAAGCACTTTTACAGGAGGACAGAGCACGCCTGGTTTCACTCCTAAGCCCCCCTTCCAGAAAACAGAGTACCAGAAACCATTCCAGAACAGTGGAAATTACAGAAACTATGGTTCTTCTTCCTATCAACCTGCACCTCCACAAGGGAACAAAATGGAAGCAATGCTGGAACAGATCTTGGAAGGACAACAGAAGCTTACAGTGGACTTCAATGGAAAGATAGATTCGCTCTATCAGGATTTGAATGGGAAAATTGAGAGTCTGAACTCTCATATGAAGAAGCTTGATGTTCAAGTTGCCCAAACTGCAGGAGCTGTTCAGAGGCAAGAAGGATTTCTTCCAGGAAGAACTGATGCTAATCCCAAACACCATGTGAATGCCATCACATTGAGGAGTGGAAAGAACCTGCAACCAGTGTTGCAGAAGGATTTAACCTCAAGGAATTTCGTGGGTATTGAAGAGTATGAAGATGAAGAAATTTCTGTTGAAGAACCACGGGTGACGCTCGTCACCAATGATGGGTGTCGCTCGTCACCCCTCGAGCACAACCTCGACGACCTTTCTTCACAGATTGGTGACGACCGTCACCAGGAGGGTGACGCTCGTCACCCAAATCGAGCAATCGACCCCGACTTGTCCAAAGCGAGTGACGCTCGTCACCATCCCAGTGACGCTCGTCACCCGCCGCCACATACTGCAGTTTCGTCTAAGACTTCAGATAATGCTAAGGAGACAGTATATAAGCCCAAGATACCCTATCCTAAGCATCCTAAGAAGTCTAAGCAGGAGCTTGAAGATGCTAAATGCAAGGCTATCATGGACAAATTGGTTATTGAGATCCCATTGATTGATGTTGTAAGGATCACTCCTATTATAAGGAGGTATGTGAAGAGGATGGTGACCAATAACTTGAGTTTAGAGGCTGAGGCTATGATGATCAACGAGCAGGTCAGTGCAGTGATTCAGAACAGAGTTCCAGAGAAGCTTTCAGACGCAGGAAGCTTTGTTTTAGACTGCACAATCTTCAATGACAAGTTTGAGAGGTTATTGTGTGATCTTGGTTCTAGTGTGAACCTCATGCCTCATTATGTTGCCAAGAGCTTGGGGATGACCTATTTTAAGGCTACAAGGATATTTCTTGTCCTAGCTGATAGATCAGTCAGAGTTCCTGAAGGGGTGATTCCTATCAAAGTAGGAGATTGTATGATTCCTACTGATTCTTGGCAGACCCTTCTTGGCTACTGCAGGAGCTATCATAGATGTCAGGAAGGGTAGAATAGAGCTGAATGTTGGTAATTTAGTGATGAAATTCGAAATGGACAAGCAGATGAAGAGGCCAACCATAGATGGACAGACTTTTTATGTGGATGTTCTCACAGACATTGCTGATCAGATCTTCCATGAGATGAGTTCAGAGGACCCCTTGGGAAGGGCGTTGACCACTTCTACAGCAGAGTATGAGCATTTGGATGCTGCTGCAACAGGCTACACAAAGATGATGGATGATACTGCACAAGTGATGCAACTGGTTGCACAGGATGAGCTTGTCTCCACATCTGCGAAAGCTGTTACAATGGGTGATTGGTCTGCAGCAAAAGTACCAAAAGTTAAGCTTAAACAGCTCCCTGCAGGGCTAAGGTACGCATTTCTTGGAGAAAACTTCACCTATCCTTTTATTGTTAATGCTTCATTGAACAATGCAGAACTCACCCTTTTGCTAAGTAAGCTGCAAAAATTTCGCAAAGCTCTTGGCTATTCTCTTGATGATATTTCAAGGATCTCTCCAGACTTGTGCATGCATAGGATACACTTGGA